TACAAGTGATTTAGATATGGTTATGTTAGTTTTGTATTGGAATGAACGTGTTTTCTATAGTGATTTACTGTAAAAAAATCTGGTTTACTGTACTTACGAGCTATGGTGATGCAAGTGATTTAGATATGGTTATGTTGGAATGAACGTGTTTTCTATAGTGATTTACTGTAAACAATTCTTACAGACTATTGTGGTGATACAAGTGATTTAGATATGGTTATGTTAGGTTTGTATTGGAATGAACGTGTTTTCTATAGTGATTTACTGTAAAAAATTCTTACAGACTATTGTGGTGATGCAAGTGATTTAGATATGGTTATGTTAGTTTTGTATTGGAATGAACGTGTTTTATAGTGATTTACTGTAAAAAATTCTGGTTTACTGTACTTACGAGCTATGGTGGTACGAGTGATTTAGATATGGATATGTTAGTTTTGTATTGGAATGAGCGTAATTTCCATAGTGATTTACTGTAAAAAATTCCGGTTTACTGTACTTACGGGCTATAGTGACATAAGTGATTTAGATATGGATATGTTAGTTTTGTATTGGAATGAACGTGATTTCCATAGTGATTACCGTAAAAAATTCTTACAGACTATTGTGGTGATGCAAGTGATTTAGATAGTTTTTGTATTGGAATGAACGTGATTTCAATAGTGATTTTCTGTAAAAAATTTGGGTTTACTGTACTTACTAGCTATAGTTATACAAGTGATTTATATATGGATATGTTGGTTTTGTATTGGAATGAGCGTGATTTCTATAGTGATTTACTGTAAAAAAAGTCTGGTTTACTGTACTTACGAGCTATAATGACACAAGTGCTTTAGATATGGATATGTTAGTTTTGTATTGGAATGAACGTGATTTCTATAACGATTTACTGTAAAAAATTCTGGTTTACTGTACTTACGAGCTATGGTGATACAAGTGATTTAGATATGGATATGTTAGTTTTGTATTGGAATGAACGTGATTTCTATAGTGATTTGCGGTAAAAAATTCTATTATTGTACTTACTCGCTATGGTGATGCAAGTGATTATTGCGGTTTGCAAAAATATGTGAAATTTAATGATCAAAAAAAAAAAAAAGAAATCGATGATTTCTGATTCTGATTTCCGATTTTTATAACACTTTTTTTTAGACTTTTAGATTAGACTTTAATATACATAAGATTTATAATAACCTCGAATCTTATATAGTTGTTAAAATTATGTATATTAAAGCCTAATTTTAAAGTCTAATCTAAAAGTCTAAAAAAATCTTAAAAAAATCGGAATAAATATGGTTATGGTAGTTTTGTATTGGAATTAATGTGATTTCTATAGTGATTTACTGTAAAAAATTCTGGTTTACTGTACTTACGAACTATAGTGATGCAAGTAATTTAGAGTTATGTTAGTTATAATGAATGACTAAAAATTTTGCTACTATACTTACAGACTTGTGATTGACATAAATTGTAATCGAATTATTATTTACTTCTAAGCTTTTTTAAGCTACTGAAATTAACAAATGCATATCATACTTACAACTCCGTAACTAATTTATAAGCCTTCTTTGCCCATACGTCATTTGGTTTAATTCTTAATAATTTCTCCAAGTCAGCAATTGATTCATTATACCTTTTCATCATGTAATTAATTTCTCCTCGATATTTTAATGCTATTGTATTATTTGGCATTATTTCTAGCAATCTAGTTAAATCTTCCAATGCTTCATCATATTTGCCCATAATAAAATATATTTTTCCTCGGTAGGTTAATTCAAATACATTAATTGGTTTCCTTTTTTTTTTAGTGATTTTGTTAATTCGTCGGTTAAACTAGTAAGCATATTTTCATATCCACCCATAATAGTATAGACTTTTTCTTGATATTCTAATGCTAATGCATTATTGTTTGGCTTTAAACTAATATTTTCATTAGTCATCGCTGCCAATTGAAATACATATATATTGACAAAATTAAATTTTAAATAAGCTAAAAGCGATTAATTTCCTCGAATAAATACCTGAATATTTAAATTTTTCTCTGCCGAAATTCACTTCCACTGACCCGCCTTGTGATCTAAATCCAATACAAGGATATATAATACCTTTGAAATCGCTATGTAGATGGCACGCAATTCCTTAAATATTTTATAATTGATGAATTTTATCTATTTACTTTAAAAAATATAAGCATCAATTTCTAAAATGTTGGTTACCCAAGTTAATTCCATTTTTAGTATAAAACACCATCTTATTTCCAAAATTTAGATAGCATCCAACTATATCACCAGTAGTATATCCAGGAGGACTTGATAAATCATATAGTCCACCACTTCCTGAGCAAAAAGAATATCCATCGTCACCATGGAAGCCACATCTCCATGATTCATTTTCCTTATTTTCCTGTCCTAAAAGATATGACATAGGTGTTAATCTAAATAATAAGAAAGAAAGTAAAAATTTGCTATTACCAAGCATGAGCATATTATTTATATAATTTGAATCGTCTATTTTTTTATCGCTTTGCTTTGTACAGTATCCGATCCCAATCATACTATTAAGAAAATAGAATTAAAAGATTATAAAAATCACCAGAACAAATGTGATGTTTACGAAATAATTATTTATATTACCCATTTTTCCTTTATCTATAATTTTAATTTCAAAGTAAAATATCCCACACTCTGAAGGGATTGGATTGTTTGCTCGAACGATTACAGCTTTATAGTCATCAGGGTCTTTAATTAAAAGGGTTAAATAAATTAATAGTTATGATGATATTCTATTAAATGCCGATGATTACAGTAACATATTAAATATGGTTCAGCGAGATTTCTCATTTTCATATTACCTGTATAACATACTTTAAGTCCACTTGAATCTATATCAATAAATGGCGATTTATCTTCAATATCCCATGCAGTCGGTAAACCAATATCATTGTACGAAGTTACTAATTCTAAATCTCCCATTGCTGTAAGTTAAAATTCAGTTCAGATCTTTTGTTAATGAACAAAAGTAATTTATAGAAATATTAACGAACACAATGTACTATTTATGTATGCGTATTTGTATTCTGTAGTACGTAGTAATACAAGCTAACGATAATTTATAGTTATTTGTATGAGTTGTAATGAATAACCCCGGGTTCATATTCCGTGCTGAAGGCACGGGATTTAAATATGAACCCGTGTGTGTAACTGGGTATTCAATATACCCATATAATAACTACCTTATTGCACGGTGTATGACGTAACAATCCCGTGCCAGTAAGTAAATTAAAAAAGCACGGGTTGTCACATAAGACCCGTACAATAAAGCTGTGTTATAATTATAAGTCAAACGAATATAAATAATACAAATAATATGTATGATTTTTGACCGCCAATTAACAACGAAGCTTCACAATGTTATGTGAGCCTGACTAAACAATATTGGAATAAGGTCCAAAAAACAGCCAGCAGAAGAGCTCTGAAGTTTTAAAAAAATGGCGAAAAGATTATCAAATTTTAACGAACTAAGTACTTAAGCATATCAAAAATTTTGACATAAAGCATAAAGTGGTAGCAAACTAATTAGTTATATAATTAAAATCAAAATCTCGGAGCTGTGATCAATACGATCCTTAAGATAATATAGTTAGAAAATAAAAAAAAACGAAAATTAGCCTCTTACATTTTCTAATTGAAATTTAAATACTGTATCATTTGGGCATTATCAAGAAACTGTATAAAATAAAAAACTCTAAACGATGATTGAGTTCGAACGTGTTTAGTTTAGATCTTTAAATGAGTGACAACAATTCAATCTATATTCAACTAAATAGATAAATGAGAATAATTAAATCTTAAATATAACAAAAGAATCTTAGCATCTTAGCATTGATGTAGATAATAACGTGAATGCCAACCAAATTTCGAGTTTGATTTCGTCGGTAGTCTCAAAACACCATTTTTTAAATTAAGATACTTCAAAGGTTTTTGGCGAAAAAGGATAAATATAGATAGTATAAAAATATGTTATAGTAAAAATTTTTATTATAATTAAGAAAACTAGTTATATTGTAAAATATGAACGTTAGCTAAGAAGTGAAAACTGTGTCTTTCTTCACAAAACCTATAGACTGCCAAATTTTATATGTGCTATAAGTTGCAGATCCCTTAATTAAATCATTATCTTGACATTACGCTTGACCGATAATACAACTTTTCAATTTATTTGTTGGTTAAACTAATTGATTAGTCGATTATCACTAACACCGATAGTTGAATAAAATCAAATCTATGCTAATTTTGAAATAAATATAAAGTATAACTGCAATTCAGGATGACATAAAAGAATAATTTTAAAAATTTCGCAAGTAATGTGCATGTTGTTTATGATTTTGTTTTTTGATAGTAATTTATTTCTGACTCATATTTACACATAACATCTCTGACGTCGCCACAAACAAATTAGTTAGATGAATTTAAAAAATTAATAATAAGATGTTGAAAAAAAATTTTTTTGATAATTAATATTAAATATTGAAGTATTTATAATATATATATTATTGCAGTTCTGATTATTATATTATATAGTTTATCGTACCTTTGAGGAAAGATTTTTTAGAGCTGATATTACGCAGTAGGTTATAGCTCTAAGAAATTCACCTATTTCTGCATTGAGAATCTTTTTTTTTTTTACTTGTACAATATTATGATGGTTTGAACCAATAATATGGGCAATTTAAACAGACATAGTACAATGCAATTTTAATTAATAATAAGTTCAAATAATCTTTATTAAACTAAATAAATTTTGAACTAAATATACATTTCGAGGTATTTAGATACAAAAATATGAGTTCAAACACATATAAATGACTATATATCAAAGCTTTAGATAATAATGAATAAAAATGCGTAGAATAAAAGAATGGTTCATAAGATATCTAAAAACCAATTAACATTTGCAAGAGCCTTGGGTACAGGCACAAGAACTTCCACAATTGCAAGTACTATTCATTAAAAAATGAAGTTAGCATAAGGATTTGTTCGATTAAACTTTATCGAAAAGAAATGAAAAAATTAAATACCTAACACCACAAGGGGCAGTTTCATTTTGTGTATTCGCGAATTGTTGAGTAGTGTTGGTAGTATTGCTAGTGTTTTTAATACAAGTGCAATTCACGCCACATTGACAAGCAGAACCACATTTACAAGTAGTGCACATTTTTCAGTATGGTTGTATGTGAGAATATTGTATAAAGATTTGTTTAGATGTGAAGTATTCTTTGATAATTGTTAAGTTTGCTTTGCTTTGATTTTTTTTTACGAGGAATTTTTGGTGGTGTATTTATATTAAAAAACCATCGAGATAGTTCTAGATAAATCTATATAAATTACTAACATGTACAAATCATTATTAAAATGAAGATCATTATGTGGATTGTGAATAGCAAAAATGCCTCAATGTATGATTGATTATCCGAACAAATGTATAATGATTATTTGTTATATCAGATATGTATTTCCTTTTTAATTAATAACGTTAAAAAGCATGAAAATCAATCAAGTGACCAGTCAGATCTTGATCACATGATCCTTATGATGTAATGAATAATCGATTGAAATGATTGTTGAAATAATGAGTATTCCCATTTTATTGATATAATTCACAATGTATATATCAATTTATCAAAGAAGGAAAAACTTTTAATACAACGAATGTTCCAGAATCAGAAATGAGATTAATAAATTGAGTTTTCTTTAAAAATCGTTAATCTGATTAATTATTACGCTGGACTCTTATGATAAATTATGTTGATCTTATAAGCGCAATCTCACAATCACAATCACCATTTAAAAAAAGAAATTGTCATAGAATTTTCAAAGCGCAATAAATTCAGTAATGTTTTAAATTACTTATTACAGCTGTTTTCATAAATTCTGGGACAACTGATAAAAATTGATCAGCCGAATTCGATAAGTTCGATAAGTTTTTGAATTCGCCGAAATCAAATTCCGATAACACCGAATTCAAAAACTAATTCGAATTCGACCGAAATAATTTTTATCTGTTGTCCCAGAATTTATGAAAACAGCTGTAATAAAAATGGCACTGATTTGATACGACTAGATGATTTGCATCATACAAATGGTTTTCTTTTTTAGTGAACACGGTTACTAAATCAAATCTAATAATTTTTTTATTTGAATTCTATGTCTCCCTAAAATTCAAATAAAAAAAATTTTATCAAATTTGGCTCTTTTTTTAAAAACTCAAGTCTATCAAAACTTTGAAGGGATATATCTCGACAACTATCAATCAAATTTTTATATTTGAATTCTACATATATAGAATTCAAATAAAAAAGAAATGTTCATTAAAATTGAGTTGATGGTTGTCAAGATATATTCACTAAAAGTTCGAGAAAAATTCACAGTAATATCGATATACTGCTCTTAAAGTTGGCAAGATGTTTTTATTTATGTCACACAAAATTAATTTTCGTAATAATAACCTGGTGTTTCGAAGTTCCGGTCGGATTTTTTTTTTTTAATATAAATTATAATTCATGAGTTTATAAAAGTCGGTCTTTTAACTTCTAAGGCTTTCTTGAAAAAACAACATTTTACATACTTCACGACGCCCATGCTCGTAATTTATTTGGTGGTATTGTGATCTCCAAGCCAAATCGGAATTTAAACCATCGAAAATTACTATTAAGATCTCGATATCAATGGTTCAACGAAATAATTTTCAAGGCGATTCCATTCCAATTTAGCTGGCGAATTTCTTGACAACATTACAATAAACAATACCGATTTTTTTTTTGATTAAATTCGTTAAAAAAAAAAAAAATTTAAACAAATGTAATTATAAAAAAAAATTGATTTTTTGAAAAATTTGGGTTGGCAAGCCCTATAAGAAAAATGTACCAGATCGGCACGGTTTGGTTTCAACGCTAGTAGCTACTCCACAAAAACACGTGGACCAAATAGGTTGACGAGCCTCAAAAAGATATATAATCTATGACATATATATATATATATATATATTGGTAACCATGTACTAAGTTTATTAAATTTGTAGCACTTAATACAAGACCAAGCTATCTAATAGGTTGTTCTTAGACTAAAAGCCGGCTGACTCTGAAAGATGCCCAACCTTGGTTACCGCACTGCTATTGGCCACTATACCCCACATATAGCACGGCACATTTAAAGATATAATCTAGCCTGGGCTCAAGCTTCCATCACATCAGGACCTCTTTTTCCTTCCAATTCTTCTTGCTTCTCAAGAGGCATGAAACAAAAGGGAGAAAAGTTTAAACTAAAAAATTACAAAAACAACTAAAAAAGAAAACAACCAAAAACAAGAAAAATTAAACACAGATTATGAAAAAGAAAAAAACAAAAAAAAAAATCTAAGACCCTAAGGGCACTATTATAACCCGTACAAGGTTGGTAAAAATTATATAATAAATGCAACATTTATATATCCCTCCTGTAAAGCTTTGCCTTAGTATTAAATTTACTTTTCAACCTTTCTACTGACTTTGGATGGCTTTGTTGTCTATCTAATTTGTATCTCAAGTCAGGTACTGCTGTTGTCCAAGGATTCATATCTCAAGCCACCTGTTATTTTGCTGCTGTAATTAGAGTTTCCGAGCTGAGTCTTATAAAGTAGCATCATATTCATCCATAAACAAACATGTAGTTGCATTCTACTTGATTGTTCAAATTTGGGAAGTAAACAATGCTAATCTTTTGTAGAGGATAAGCCAAATTCCCACTTTTTTGTCAAAAATTTTGGAAGAAAGGCAGAGAAGTGAAAAAAGAATAGTAGGCAACACTTGGCTAGAAAAAAAAAATGTGGCTTAAAATAAGCTCATTCTTTGTTGTTTTGCAACCAATAGCTTTATTAATGAAAGGCTTGAACTTTATCACCTCTATCTATTTACCAAAATTTCATATATGAGAGTGCCATCTTCTGCCAGTTATCTTGTATACAGACACTTTTAGCTTGCATGTCAAATATATAAAGAAGACTATAATGTAAAAAAGGTTGGTACATACGCTCCGAAAGTATGGACCAAGGAGAGGGCGTCCTTCAGGCACCTAAAGCCTGGGCAGACCAACCCTTCTGGGTTGCCGGCTGGAAGTAAGGGAGGGACCAGTAAAGAATCCGGGTAAGAAGATGGTCTAAATGTGGGGTACTGGGGTTGCTAGGAACCAAAACAAGGGCAAGAAGTATGTAATGGGTGCCTAGTTAGGAAGGTTGGTGTTTGAGAAATATCTGTAAAACATCAGCACCTCAAAAGGTAGTATGAGATACGAATACAAAATGGCAGGCCAATATATACTAATTAGGAAGAAGTTATAAAAACAAGTATGTGAATATATATGTGGGATATATACTACTATGTTAGGTTTACTTTGAGAATAGACTAGGTCTATATGAGTTAGTAAGTTTTAAAGCAGGGTACTGAATCCAGTTTGGGTAATACCAATATCTACTTAGTTTAGTGAAGAAGCCACAGGTTAGAGGGTAGATAGAGGTAGTTAGAACTAGATGGTTTAATGGGTACTTCTCTAGTTGGAGTGCAAGTACAGCAAATAGTGTAGAACCTTCAGATAGACTACTTAAATAGGCACTCAAAAGGTGCACGTGTGGCTTGATGTATCATTATTGTAATTACATTATAAAACTCTGTCTATATTCTAATAAAAAGTCTCCAGGCCAAAAAGATCACCTTAATACCATATATATATATATATATATATATATAATAAAAACTTCACAATATGTCTACTTTTTCAATTTTGAATAATAAATTTTTAAAAAGTATCTATAATAATATAAAAGAGCATTACATATAGGCAGATCTGCGGAATTGTTTATTTATTTTGACGCACCCTAAAATTTATATTATATGGATTACAAATGTGTCAGTTAATTGCCATATTTGATATCCAATCAAATTCAAATGGATTAAGGTTTGTCAGTTAATTGACATATTTGAGATCTAATCAAATTTGATTGACAGTTCAACAAAAAAAAAAAAGAAATGAATTTGTGTATATACATACGTACATATAGTTCACATCACTAACTTTTTAAAATAAATAACTTTGAGTACTATGCTTTTATTATTGTTAATTTTAATACATGTATGTAAGGTGCAAGAAGTCTAAAAACCACAATTACTCCTTATAGAGACAAAATATAAACAGTGAAATTAAAGTGAAATTAAAAACTATATTCTAGGTATAATTGATTAAAGATTACGCCAAACAGATAATCAAGTAGTATATTGAAATTAATATTTCTTTAAATTATCGATTTCAATAAGGTATTTATAAGTACAATTTATTGGTATTAATAATTTAAATTTCAATATTTATATTTTGTCTTTATAAGAAGTAATTGTGGTTTTTAGATTTCTCGTACTGTATGTATAAACTATTTTAGAAATAACTAACAAGATGTATATAGGTAATTGAAGTCTGCTGAGAGTGTTAATCCTATGAAAGAACAATTCCTGAGATCTGCTATGATTAAGCATAGATGCCAAAGATGAATAAGCACAGTGCTGTCAGACAAGACAATCAAGATGGATTCTGTAGTATTTGAAATTTGCTAAAAGTGTGAGCTTCTACAAAAATGAGAGATGTTAATTAGCTTATAACAGAGCATTATGAATTAGCAAATAATTTATTAATGCTATAGATTTACATTTATAAATTAGGGTCAAAACCCAAATTAGAAAAGTGAGTTAGCAACTATCAATATTTTAAGTAAACTTGCAATTTGCATTTTTACCAATATTAAATAATTAGCATTATTTGGCTAGTGGATGAAATGAGTGTTAGTATTTTAGCTCTAAGGCATATATTCTATATATCCAATGTTTATATGCATTCGACAATAGTAAAATTTTTAAAATAAAGATTTTTTTGCTATAAATAATTTTTTTTCTTCAAAAAGTTTATTAAAATTTATTAAAAAAAAAAAGCGTGACTGTGTTATGAACCTAAAGCATGTAATCTATTGCCTTTGGACAGCTTTGTTTTTAATAAATCTATATTCATTCCGAGGGTATAACCCATCTCATTAGATTTTTGAAAATGATAAATGCTTTATTAAATTCTTTTCGATTCCAAATCTGTCTCGCAGCAGATTTTGAAAAATATAAGAATACTTTATGTATAGTTTTTTTAATTACG